GACACCGGTGGGAGGGGGCCCGGTAGATCCTCCCCCCCCGTTCTGAATCCCGTGCCCCGTCGTGCCCAGGTATTGCCTGTGGTTTGCGAGTTCACGGCCGGTGACAGTTCCCTGCAGTGAGTGGATCTGCCTGAGTCCTCTGTCCCCTTCCCCCGCCCCAACACGTGTCTGGGTGTATCCCTGTGCTCACACAGCTGAAAAGTGAAATAGCCCTGCCGAAACCGGTGTGGTTCAGTGGACAGAGCATCGGCCTGCGGACTGGAGGGTCCCGGGTTCCATTCCGGTCAAGGGCAGGGACCTTGGTTGCGGGCACATCCCCAGTAGGGAGTGTGCAAGAGCCAGCTGATCGATGATTGTCTCTCGTCGATGTTTCTAACTCTCTGTAAAAAAATAAATAAAATATATTTAAAAAGAAGAAGAAGAAGAAGGAGGAGGAGGAGGAGGAGGAGGAGAAGAAGAAGGAGAAGAAGAAGAAGGAGGAGGAGGAGGAGGAGGAGGAGGAGGAGGAGGAGGAGGAGGAGGTTCCCTGTCCGCCCACGGCCCGTTGGATTTCATTTTATTTATTTTACTTTCGTGAATTCTCACCCAAGGGTGTTTTCCCGCTGATATTGAGAGGGTAGCAGGGACGGGAGAGAGAGAGAGAGAGAGAGAGAGAGAGAGAGAGAGAGAGAGAGAGAGAGAGAGAGAGAGAGAGAGAGAGAGAGAGAGAGATGTGAGAGAGACATCGATGGCTAGCTTCTGCACATACCCTAACCAGGGCCAGGGATCGGGCCTGCCCCCGACTGGAATTGAACCCGGGGCCCTTCTGTCCCCGGGGGCCGACGCTCTATCCACTGAGCCACACTGGCTAGGGTGGGATTCAAATCTTGAGAAGACACCCCCCAGCTCCACCAAAAAGGAACGAAGCTGTCATCCTGCGAGGCTGGTGGTGGGGGCGTGCCCCTGGAGGCAGGTCCAGTGGGAGGAAGGCGGAGGTGCGAGGTTCCTGCCTGAGCAATGACGAGCGAGCTCTTACCATTGCTGAGCAACGAACGCTCGCGGAGGGCTTGTCATGTTCCACCCAATGTTCGTCATGGAGCTAATTTCCTCCCACCGTCTTTTTTTTTTTTTTTTTTTTTCCAAATATATTTTTTATTGATTTGGGAGAGGGAGACAGAGAAACATCAGCGATGAGAGAGTCACTGAGGGGGCTGCCTCCTGCACGCTCTCCATGGGGGATGAAGCCTGCAACATGGGCGGGTGTGCCTGGACCGGAATCGAACCCGGGTCCGGACTCTGCGGTCCCAGGGGCCGACGCTCTATCCGCTGAGCCAAACCGGCCAGGGCTGGCGGTTTATCTGACCTTTGGGAATGACAGGCAGTAAAAAAAAATAAATAAATAAAATAAAATAAAAAAATTGTGTGGTTTGATTATTATCTTTCTTTCTTTTTGATTCACCGGTGGTGACTCATACGAACAAAGAATCTCGAGCACTCCAAGAGGCCTGTCAAAATAAAAACTTCACCAGCAATTTGAGGCAGAAGGCTTAATTGAAAAGGGTGTGCATTAGAGGGCATATGTTAGCGAATTCTTTCATAATCGCTGAAATGTTGGGTTATTCAATAAAGTGTCCAGTTTTACAGGTGTGGCTTCCTCGAGGGCTGAGGACAGTGAGAGGGACTGCCAATCTTTTTTCTTTTTTTTTCTTTTTAAAATTTTATTGATTTTTTACAGAGAGGAAGGGACAGGGAACATCAATGAGAGAGAAACATCCATCAGCCGCCTCCTGCACACCCCCGCACTGGGGATGTGCCTGCAACCAAGGTCCATGCCCTTGAATGGAATCGAACCTGGGGAGCCCCTTCAGTCCGAACGCCGACGCTCTATCCACTGAGCCACACTGGTCAGGGTGGGATTGCCAATCTTTCATTTTGCTTTCCCAAAGCCTGGAACAAATTCTGGGTGAACAGTAAAAGTTCAAAGCTTGTTAAGAGGAATGAATGCATCATGCAAAAAAAAAAAAAAAAAAAAAAAAAAGGAAAAAAAAGAAAAAAAAGTCAAACTTCTTTTTTTACATGCAATGAGGCAATTAGTAGAAACACCTGGGTTTCATTTGGACTGGAAGTCTGAAAACCTTACTCCTTTGTCCTGTGGTGTTTGTTCTTTCCGGGAAAAGAACCCATGGAGAACCAAATGCGTCTGATTTTTGGGAGAACAATTTTATTCATAAAAACGGATATATAATTTGTATTATAGAGAGAGAGATAGGAAACACTCTTAACATGGTAGGAGTTCCTGAAAACATTCATTGCCACCAGCAACCATTTGAAGTTTGAATATGGATAAGGCCCAGAACACAGGGGGTGTGGGGCTTCTTGCCTCCTCTGACACTAGCATCGCTCCAGAACACCTGTTTAATATTCATATATTCATGAACCGAAAAGGGCCGGGGGTGATGTCTCCGGATCCTGAGAGCAGGGTTTTGTTTTTTTTTACTGATTTTTCAAGCGACTCTTTTTGGAATCCAGGTAGTTCTGCCACCTTTTGATAGACCGGGTTATTTATAAAAAATTACATTGTATCTATTTAGACAACCGCCGCCTGAAGAGGAAAGAATAAAAGGATTGTCACACGCTTAGCTACTGTAGCAACGTGTTGCTTCAATTACTCCCAAGTCTTCAGAGATTTTCATTCTCATTTGCTTATTTGGATGATCTGTAAAGATAAGTCCTTAAAAGGCTGTAATTTTAACTAATCTTTCCCATAAAATATTAGCGCAATTAGTTTCCAAAATGAGGCTCTGTAATGAGGGGAAATGATAGGAGAATAAGGAACGGAGTCGGAGTTGTGCATGATCTAATACCGTCACTTATCATTAGCGGCTGTGGAATAATTTCAATTCCTCCGGGTTGTTGTTTTTATAATGGGTTGTGGGTTTTTTTGTTGTTGTTGTTGTTGTTTTTCTGTTTGTTTTATTAATCCTCACTGGAGAATATATTTCTTCCCATTTATTTTTGGAGAGAGGGGAAGGGAAGGGGAGAGACAGAGAAACGTGGATGTGAAAGAGACACATACCCATGGGCTGCCTCCTGCATGGGGTGCCCACCCCTGACTGGCCAGGGGCCAGGGATGGAGCTTGTAACGGCGGTCTGAGGCGTCCTTGATCAGGAATTGAACCCGGGACCCTTCGGTCTGCAGATTGACGCTGGCTCTCTCTTACCCACCGAGCCAAACCGGCTAGGGCAGTGTGGTTGGCAAACTGCGGCTCGAGAGCCACAGGCGGCTCTTTGGCCCCTTGAGTGTGGCTCTTCCAAAAAATACCACGGCCTGGGCAAGTCAATTTTAATGAAGTGGCGTTGGAAGAAGTTTAAGTTTAAAAAAATTGGCATCGCTGTACGGTTGCTATTTGGCTTTGTTGGCTAATGAGTTTGCCAAGCACTGGGCTAGGGCATATGGGTTGAGTATTTTTTATTTTATTTATTTATATTATTTTAATATATTTTATTGACTCTCTACAGAGAGAGGAAGGGAGAGGGATAGTTAGAAACATACATGAGAGAGAAACATCCATCAGCTGCCTCCTGCACGCTCCCCCACTGGGGATGTGCCCGTAACCAAGGTCCATGCCCTTGACCTAGAATAGAACCTGGGACCCTTCAGACTGCAGGCCAACGCTCTGAACCACTGAGCCACACCGGTCAGGGCTGGTTAAGTATTTATTTAAAAAAAAAAAAAAATGTTGGCTATAGTGCGGGAGCCCTGACTATATAAAAAACGAAACATGCCCTCGGAACCACAGGAAAATACTTTGTAGCGATGCTTGTAGAAAGCATGTACACCAGGAATGGGAGTTCAGCTAGCATTTTATCAGCAAAGTTGCAAGAAGCGTTTTATGCATTTTATCAGCAAAGTTGCAAGATGTTCAGGCAAGGAATTGGGAGGGATTCCGTTTCGGCTTTGATGGTAACTATGGCAGAGTTACACACACACACACACACACACACACACAAATAATCCTTTTAAATAAAACGGGGACGTTGGGCCTGGCTGGTGTGGCTCAGGGGCTGAACCTTGACCTATGCACCCGGAGGTCACGGTCCCACTTCCGGTCGGGGCACCTGTCCCCGGGGTTTGCAGCAGCCATCGTCCCACAGGGGTGGGCTTTGCAGGAGGATTCTCTCAGCATGGACGTTTCTCTGTCTCTCTGTGAAATAAATTAAAATATTTTAAAAATATTAAAGGAGTGCTTTGGGGTGTCTTTGTCACTCGGATCAGAACCCCTGAAGGTCAGGCCTGCAGGCGCCCGGCTGTCCCTTTTGTCCACGAGGACACCACGTGCTGGCCAGAGCCTCCAGCGATGACCTTGGGCCCCTGGGCTCCGGGGCCCAGGCTCCGGGGCCGCCTCTGCCTTGTTTACCGAGGCCGCGGGGCGGGGGCGAGGGGGTCGGAGACCTCGTGCCCCTCTGCTCCCTTGTCACCTCATCCGTCCCCCCCAATAAAACGGGGAGCGGTTATTAGGCCGAGCAAGGAGGAGGGGGGAGGCTTTACACCTATTCCCGGGGCCTCCAGGGGGGGAGCTTTCCACAGCGCGCCCCCTCCTCTCTCGGCCGGACCCACACGCACGACCCCCCTCCGCCCCAGCCCCAAGATGGCGGCCGACCCTGGTGGGCTTCACTCGGCGCGCGCGCGGCGGAGCCCCTTCCCCTTCCCAGCGGCCCCCGCGCCCGCGACGCTGGCCACCTCGGCGAAAAGGGGGCGTGGCCGAGCGTGGCGGCGTCCGCGACGTCGCCCCTGCGTCGCGGCTGCGTCGCCGCGTCCCCACCTCCGTCCGGAGCCCCCTTCACGCCCGTAGCGCGCGCGCGCGCTGCCTGCCGGGATACTCGGCTCGCTCCGTCAGTCCTCCCGGCTCGGGCCGCGCGCGCGATCCGCGTTTGTCCCCAAGATGGTGGCGCTGGGCTCCCGGGTGTCCACTGAGGGAGGCGGCCGAGCCTGAGTGTCTCTCCCCCCCCTCCCGCCCCCTCACCCGCTTCCTCTCCGGGCCGGAAGCTCGGTCTCCCCGGCCCCGCGCCCCCCCCCGCGCCCCCGCTCGTGCGTCACCTCTGCCGACCCGGCGTGCGTGCGCTCACGGCCGCGGCGGCGGCGCCTCCCTCGGCTCCTCCTCGGGGCCGCGCTCGCTCGTCGGGCCCCGCAGCCCCCGGTGCGGACAGGCGGCGTCGGAAGGGGAGCGGCTGCGGCCACCGGCACCGCCACCACCGCCGCGAGCTCGGGCTGAGGAGCGGCTCGGCGCCCGGCGTCCCGGCCTCGGTCTCCGGTGAGGGCGGCGCGGGTCCCGCATGAGCGCGGGCGGCGGCGACAGGGGACCGAGGAGGCGGCGGGCGAGGGCGGCCGGGACCAGGGCCGCGGCCCCGGCGCGGGGTCCACACAGGTCAGTCAGCCCCCCGGTCCCCGCCGCCGCCGCCGGGGCACCCCCTCTTTTTGGGGGTCGCTTTCAGGGAAGGCAGGGGGCGCCCCAGTCCCAGGGCGAGGGTTTGGGGCGCGTGGTCCGGGGGCCGGTGCCGGTCCACCGGGGCGGGGGTGGGGGTGGGGGCCTCCGCCGCCGTAACTGTCAGCTCCGGGTGTCGGTCGGAGGAGGAGGATGGGGGACCCCCCTCCCCAGGGGGCGCCTCAGGCCCGGGACGGGGTGGCCCCGCCGGGAGCCACGTCCGCCGACCCCTCCCCTCCGGCCCCCGGCCCGGGCCCCCGGCCGCCCCGCCCCCGCGGCCAAGGGCACTCGTTTTTGGGGTGTTTCCAGGATCGGGGGGCGGGGGAGCGTGGACACGTGTGCTTTGGGGGTGTGGGTGGGGATTGGGGCTTTTTTTTGGGTCTTTTTTTGTCTCTTTTTTTTTCTTTTTCCTTCTGGGCGTGACGGGTCGAGGAAGGGAGCGTGGAGGGGGATCTGGACGTGAAAGGCAAAGGGTTTGGTTGTGTGTGTCCCCCGATTTCTTGACGGGTTTTGGGGGCGACACGGGGGGGGGGGCTGTTGGCGGCGTCAGACCGGGTGGACCCCGGGCTCCGTGCAAACCCGCAAAGTGTTGGCCTTTTTGCCACCCGCACCCAGATCTCCCAACTCCCACCCCGAGCCCCCAACTTTCACCTTGACCCCTCCACTCCCACCGTCACCCCCAACTCCCACTCCCACCCTCAACTCCCACCCCAACTCCCACTCCGACCCCCCAACTCCCACCCTCACCCCAACTCCCACCCCCCAACTTCCACCCGCACCCCGATCCCCCAACTCCCACCCCAACTCCAACCCTCACCCCCCAACTCCCACCCCGACCCCCCAACTCCCACCCCGCACCCCGAACTCCCACCCCGACCCCCCAACTCCAACCCCACCCCCCAACTCCCACCCCGACCCCCCAACTCCCACCCCCACCTCCCACCTCGCACCCCCAACTCCCACCCCGACCCCCCCAACTCCCACTCTCACCCCCCAACTCCAACCCTCACCCCCTAACTCCCACCCCGACCCCCCAACTCCCACCCTCACCCCCCAACTCCCACCCTCACCCCCTCCACCCCCGCTCTAACGGAAAGGACTTTCTCGCTGGTGGCAGGAGTTTTTGGTGTTTTTTTTTTTTTTTTCTTGCTCTTGGTGGTCAGGTCGGAGTGGAGCGTTAAGGGTCGTTGAACACAGTTTGATGGAGCGGACAAATCCTCGAAAGATCGTGTCGCCTCTGACTTTTTATTTCACTTAAGCACCCCCCCCCCCCCCCCCCAGAGCCACGTCCTGCGGGGCCTGCTCAAAGGGTTGTCCCCGCAGAGGCTGTTTTGGGGGTGTCTGTGTGGGGTGCTGGGGGAAAGGTAAGGTGCTGGCGAGTCACGGGCCTTTTGACCCCAAGATTTCGGGCTCCTTGCCCTGCCTGCGGTATGGAGAGAAGTGGAAAGTGATCCAGATGTTTTATTTTTTGGGGGGAGTGGAAGGAAGGGCTTGGCGTGGAAACGGCCTGGAGTTCGGGGCAGAAGTGCGGCTGCTGAAAAGTTAGGCTTTCGCCCCTCGGGCCGCCCGGCGGGGACATTGTCCGGGGGCTGGACCGGGAGGAGCAGGAGGCGGCGTTTGGGGCAGCGGGAGGGGGAGAGGACAGTCTTGTCCCGGGTGCGAGGGGAACCGGATCCTGCTTGTCAATCTGAGCTACTCGCGCATCTTTAATGAGCCGGATGCAGTATTAATCACGGGCGCGGGCGGGAGCCCCGCGGAGCGGGCAATCACGGCGCGGATGGAAGTAGGGAATGGGCTCGAGTGGCGACGCTGTTTGCAGAGGGGGCCGTCGGGCTGTGTCAATATTGACGGCCTCGGGGTGCTGGCGCCGTCCTCTGGACCCGGTCAGGGTCCCGGTCAGGGTCCCGGTCAGGGTCCCGGGGCCCAGCGGGACGGCCCGTGGGAGCTGGCTGTGTCCTCCGTGATGTTTGCAGTTTTGTGTGGACCTCGGCCTGTGGGAGGTTATTAGCATGTAGAAACGCTGTGCATTAAGTACACATGCCGCTGTCCTCTCACCCCTCCACAGATACCCTCTGACCCCAGCCCCCCGAAAGAGGGCACTGGCTGTTCCTCTCAGTACACAGGCTGGGACAGTCCACCACCCAAGCACTCGACAGTCGTCCGTTTCTTTTTTCTTAATGCCAGTCTTTTTTTTTTTTTTTTAATATATTTTATTGATTTTTGTACAGAGAGGAAGGGAGAGAGATAGAGTTAGAAACATCGATGAGAGAGAGTCATCGATCAGCTGCCTCTTGCACACCCCCTACTGGGGATATGCCTGCAACCAAGGTACATGTCCTTGACCGGAATCGAACCCGGGACCCTTCAGTCCCCAAGCCGACGCTCTATCCATTGAGCCAAACTGGTTTCGGCCACAGTCTTTTTTAAAAAAAATATATTTTTTTATTGACTTCAGAGAGGAAGGGCGAAGGGGAGATAGAAACATCAGTGATGAGAGAGGGTCATGGATCAGAGGCCTCCTGCACGCCCCCTGCTGGGTATCAAGCTCGAAACCCAGGCATGTGCGCAACCTGGAATCGAACTCACCACCACCTCTTGCTTCATAGGTCGATGCTCAAACACTGGTTTGGTTCTGAGTTGTGGGCTCGGTTCCTAGTAGGGCATGTGCAGGAGGCGTCCGATCCATGACCCTCTCTCATCATTGATGTTTTTTTCTTTCTTTCTTTTTTTTTTTTTTGAAAAAATATATTTTATTGATTTTTTACAGAGAGGGATAGAGCGTTAGAAACATCCACGAGAGAGAATCATTGATCAGCCGCCTCCTGCGTGCACCCCCCACTGGGGATGTGCCCACAACCAAGGTCCATGCCCTTGACCGGAATCGAACCTGGGACCCTTCACTCCACAGGCGGGCGCTCTATCCACTGAGCCAAACCGGTTTCGGCTCATGATTGATGATTTTCTCTCTCCTTCTCCCTTCCACTCTGAAGTCAATTAAAAAAAAATTTTTTTTTTAAAGAAAATGAATGGGAGTTATGGTCTTCAGTGGTGTCTGCAGTTTGTTTTCAATCTAGGCCTGTGTGGGTTAAAATGTAGAAACAAACAAAACCAATAAAAATAAAGTAAAACGTAGAAACAAAGCACACATGCAGCAGTTAAGAGTTTTCTGATTTTTACGATCAAGGACGAATTTTCACAAGTGGTTTTCCCAGTGAAATTTTTGGGGAAAGCCTCAGACGCTCGCTTCATGAGGACGCAGGGTGGCAGGATTTTGGCCGATTCCCATAGCTCCCCCTCTCCCCCCCGGCAATGTTCAGTGGAAATACAAAGATGGAAGATGCGAGGTGCAGTGGGAGTAGCTTGGGCATTCGATCTAGTTTTAATTCCGCGCTTCCGGGATGGTTCGGCCCTCGACAGGCTCCTCCGTCCGAGTGAGCTGCCGGTGTTCCCATCTGTGAAATGGGATTGCTAATCGGACTCAGCTGCTGACCAGGATCACCTGGCACCTTCCGACCGGTCGCCCCCGTTGGTCCTCACTCACCCTCCGTGTCCCCTTCTTCCCGCCCCGCTGTGGATCCGCTCTCTGCGGCAGGAGAGCGTGTCACAGAGCGTGGGGTGCAGGACTCTGTTCCCAGCGCGTCGGCCAGTGGTCAGGCAGCATTGACGGGGCCCTCGCTCAGGTCCCTGTGCTTGGGAAGCTTCCAGTCGCGTGACTGTCCTCGCACACGGCCTCGGTGAAGGGAGACTCGTTCTCCTCGCCCTGCCTTCCCCGCGGGCCCCGAACCTCCCACCCCAGCCGCCCTCCACAGAGTTTGTTCCACCCCTCCCTTTGCCCAGCGGCCTCGCACGCCGGCCCCAGCTCTGCCACCCGGGTCGGGCACACGTGTCTGTGTGTAAAATTAAAAACGTTGGGCGGCTGCGGGTGAATGCCCGGACGTTTTCTGAGCCGTGGTTATCGTCCTGTCTTGTGACTATAGGTTTACATCGAAGCTTTAAATCTGAGTCTGTGGGCTCGGTGCAGGCCTGCACCTCCCAGCATGTGCTGCCTGGAGGAGGAGGCGCCGGCCCCCGTTGTGGAGAGAGTGCTCCCTGTCGCTCTGGGGAGGGGGGCAGCCTTCACACTGTGACAGGCAGTGCAGGGATAGGGCTTGCTTTTCTGACCGAGAAAATGAGGCGAAATCACAGGAAATAGCAGTGGGTTAATCCAGAAACTCACTTCCCGCGTTTAGGGCGTTCGAAATGCGTCAAGATGCTGTGTGAGTGATTTTGAAATAAAATTGCTTATGAATAAATACATAAGTTTCTTTGCGAGCTTTCCTTCTCACTTACTGTCAGAAACGTCCCCGGCAGTGCTCCGTCTAAGTCGCCTTTAACAAGTACATACCATTGTGGGTGACAAGTCAAGGAGATCATTACGGCCTCAGGAGAGTGCGCTGAAGCCAGCGCTTTTTCTCTTAAGCGCTGCTGCCTGCACGCAGCTGACAGTTGTCACTGCTGGGTCCGGAGCCGGGCGTGAGCGGGGAGATGGCGGGTAAGGTCCTCAGTGCCTGGCTCCCGCGGCGCCTGTGCGGTGTCCGGGGTCGGGCTCCGGTGCCCGCGGGGAGGAGAGGTCCTGAGCGCAGCCTTTGTTCTGCTCCTCCGTCACGGAAGGTGCTGCCTGCTTTGTCTGTGTCACAGGATTATGCTTTTCAGACGTGACCGTTCTCGGAAAAACGGGTTAAAACAGACTCAGTGACTTGTCCAGGAACACACGTCGCTTCATGGCGGACGGCATCCGTGTATTTTTCCTGCTTTCTCCGTCGACGTTTTTAACCTCCTCTCAGACAGGT